TATTTAAATAAAAAACAAAATTAAAATAAAATTTTTCATTTTAACAATTTTAATATTGAATATTTCATTATTTTGAATTCGAATAAGTAAAATTTCAAATTAATAAAAATAATAATTAAAAAAAAACCCTTCCGTTTTCATTTTTTATAATATTTAAATTTACATAAAATATTATTATATTTATATAAATTTTGATTTTATATATAATTTAAAAACGAAAAAATTTAAATTTTAAATTTATTTTAAATATATAAATATTTTTAACTTAATAATAATTCATATATAAAATATATATATATATATATATATATATATATATATTTATGATGTATTTTTTATTTTAATTTTGTTTTCAATAAAAAATTTTTTATTTCTCTAATTTATTTTGTTTTCGTTTTTGTATTTTAAGATGGTTATTATTCAACAATTTGCCATCACCCAAATGATAAAATGATTTATAATATTAAAATAAAATAATTTATTTAAAATTATTTTGTAATAATTAAAAATTTTTTCAGGTCGGAAATAAAAAAATACTTAATATGTTAGATTTCAAATCAATGAAAATTAGAATTAAATAAAATATAAAATTAAATTAACAAATTGAAGTGTGTGTTTTATTATTAAATGTTTTGACAAAAAAATTATACTATATTTCATTTCAATATTTATAATTCGTTATTATATTAAATTATTATTTGTTTTTTCATTTTCAAATGTTACAGATAAACTTTATCATAAACAGATTTAAAAATTATATATATATATATATATATATATATATATATATATATTATATATATATTATAAATATTCAGCGTATAATGGTTAACAAAAAAGTCTTCGCAGGTCACTAATTAAAATTAAAAATTGAAAAAACATATATTATATATTTATATATATATATATATATATATATATATATATATATATATATATATATATTTAATTATGAAATGAAATGAAAAATCTATTGTTTCCATTTTTAATTTATACTTTAAAAAATTTTCCTGAATATTATTTTTTTTCATTTTGCCTGAAGAACCTCATCTCAGTATCAATGAACATATAAATTAATTTGTGAGTGATGTAAAATATATATATGTATCGTAATTTTATTATAATAAATGTAATATATAAATATTTTATAAAATTGTATTATATTTGAATTATGAACAGTGTCCGATTTTTATTCAAATTTTTTTATATATATATATATATATATTATATATATATATATATATATATATATATATATATATATTGTATATTTAGGCAGCAATCCTTCCTTTATGCATGTTTCATTAAAAACGACAGACAAGGTATTACGGTTAAGCTTTTTATTTATTTTTCTTGTGCTTTGAAAAGAGCTTTCTTTTCTGGACGAAGGGTGTGTAAGAACTGTCAAAATGTTTTATATTTCCGAGCGTTTTCGGCTATACCTTTAGCCATTATCAAGGATGGTTCGATTTTTCAGCTTAATTGAGTGTGTGCGTTCTGTGTATTTATTAATGTGTGGTAGAGATGTTTTTCATTTCCGAATACGGTTAGCACATTGTGGCTTTGTTCGTAGTTAATATTGTTAAGAGCTGGCTTTTTCTTTTTTTATTATTAAAGCTTTCATTTTATTTTTTCTTATTAAAGCTTCCATTATTTTTCGTCTTTTTTTGCGGGTGGATGCAGTAAATATATTAGTGTTTTCTACTAATATGTTCCTAATGGAGTCGGGTAAATTTGTGTGTGTGTTTAAATGGGTTCTAATAGAACTGTAGTCAGATAGGTGTAACGTTAGACGTCTGGATAAGCATTTCTTTGGGTAACCGATGTAATATATATGAGTCCGGTTTGATCAGGAACACAGTTCGTCATGGGGCATTTGAACTCATAGATAATGTTCGTTCTTTGGAATTTTGACTTAGCTGGTGTGTTGTTATATTTGAGGATAAGGTTGGCTGTCTTAAATTTTATACACACCCTTCGACCAGAAAAGAAAGCTCTTGTCAGAACACAAGAAAAAATAAATAAAAAGTTTAACCGTAGTACCTTGTCTGTCGTTTTTAATGAAACATGCATATATATATATATATATATATATATATATATATATATATATATATAAGATATCTAAATATATCCAGAGTATCCAATGTAAATTCAGAGCAAAATACATTGAATTTATATTGAGCTCCTGGATATCATGGAAACATTTATAATTTGGTCTGTTTTTTATTCAATATATATATATATATATATATATATATATATATATATATATATATATATATATATATATGTGTGTGTGTGTGTGTTAATGTGTGTTTGTGAGTGTGTGTGTAACTTTTGCGTGTGTTATACAAACACATATCTTATATATATATATATATATATATATATGTAGATGACTATATAGGACTAAGTTGGTTTAAATTTAAGTGAAAACAAACGAGACTACCTAACGAGTAACGCTGGGAATTTTAAATTTAAGCTTTTTTATTGTTATAAGTGTTTTGTGTGTCTAATTTAGCCACTTTCCTTTCGATATTTTTTCTTCTTGTTTTTGTTTCCATCACTTTTTTTAACCTCCTCCGCCCGCCTTGATATATATGATATTTGGAGTTCGGAAAGGAATGGTAAAATATAAACTATACTGAAATTTACTGTGGATGATCTAGCGATTGAAGAACTTTCTAAGCATTTTCGTCTAAAGTTTTAAGTTTTACTACGAATACAGGTATATATTTATTTATTAATATATACTACTTAGCACTCTCTAACCGTATTGGCCACTGCATTGTTTATTAAATTATTAAATATTTATTCTCTTATCTGCGTATGCACATTAACGATACATATATACAGTTACTAATATCTAATTATTTACTTTATATCACATTTATACACACACACACAACACATATATATATATATATATATATATATATATATATATATATATATATATATATATATATATATATATATATATGTGTGTGTGTTTGTGTGTGTGTGTGAATGGAGATCAAAAGTGTTTTAGTGGACTCAAACTTTCAATCTGCTTGTGTGAATCATCTTCAACTAAGCGAGATGCTATCTAAAAGGTCAGCCAATCTAACAGTGAAAATCCTCACATTTATATATATATATATATATATATATAGATAGATATAGATAGATAGATAGATAGATAGATTGATTGATTGATTTACTGTGTGATTGAAAATTCACTCCCCATTTCAAAATAGTTATAATATATTTATTAACTATAATTTTTGCATGAAATGTGTGTGTGTGTTGATTTTCTATAGTCCTTCATGTTATTTTTCTCTCAATTTTTTAAATGTCTCTTCTTTGTTCACATGTTACTGCCATGGCGTTATCAGCATCCTCGTGTACATCTAGTTTGTAATCCGTATTTACTCATACGCATTAATTTTTTGAAATATATCACATTAATTTCTGAAACATTCAGTATATACTATAGAAATTCCCGGAATACACTATGAAGAAATGGAGGTTGAAGAATGTAACCCTCAGATGAAATAATGAAAGCTACCAATGGGCAGAGGTTAACCGAACTAATTGACTTGTAAATTGTAGATTTTTAGATGATTTTTTTTTTACATTAAAACTCGAAGCCAACACTGAATAGTATCAGCTACGAACACTGTTATAATGTTCTTAAATAACCATCTCTTACTTCCTCCTTTTTTTCTTTTTAACTTTTTTTCTTTTTCCTTTTCCCATATCATTTCCGTTAATTTGACCGATTAAATAGATCAAGGTCTGATACTTACCTCCTCCTCCTTCCTCAACATTAAGTATTGTAATAAAAAGAAATATAAAGATAAATTTTAAACTTTCTCTTCCCTCTCAAAATTCGACCATATCTCTCACACCATTCATTATCACCCTCTAATTCAAATTATATAAGCTTAATACTGCCCGTCAAAAGTGTAAATTTTAAATTCATTTTTCGTTTCACCTTTGAAAGTGAAGTCTGAAGATCCAGAGAAAAATAAAAATGTCTGGTGAAATAAATTATTACAATGGAGCCTTAAAGTGGTCTGTTTTTTATTTAAATTAAATTATTCGCTCTCACTTAATATTGAGATCTCAGGATTTCATCCTCCTTTGAATTATCTATACAGATTACCAAGATTTTCATTTTTTATATATATATATATATATATATATATATATATATATATATATATATATATATATCAAGTTATATATTTGTGGAAAAAAGCAACTTATATGCGTGCACATGTAAGTATTTTATCTCGCTTGTGTCTATTTCTCGGAATGGCGCCTATACCCAAATGAGAAGTCTTTCTTCGTCACGGTATAAGAGTGAAATCAGTGTGTGTGTGCTGCTGTGCGTACTCATGTGAGCTCTATTGTGTGTGCTTGCTCTGAGTCTTCTTCTGTATGTTCCTGTGCGTGCCTGCTGTGAGTACTCTTGTATTCTCCAGGGTATGCTTGCTGTGAGTTCCCCTGTGTGCGCTGATGTGTGTGTCCGCTCTATGTCTTCTTGTGCGTTTGCTTGTTTTGAGTACTCCCTTGTGTGGATTTTGGTTCGTTTCTACATTGATAGGCTTCAAGCGAAAGCCAAAAAGTAATAATTTTGTTCGTATCCGCATTGGTTGAGAAGAGTCAGGTGATTTTCTTAATACGATGCCCGCGTGGTATGTCACCTAGTCTGTTTTTAAGTGTCTATTTTTAAAGTTGATGAAATTCTGGTTGGAGAGTGAAGTTGGAAATGTTTATTTATTTTTTGGTGTATTTTCGAAATCCCAACAAGCAAGAATAAGAAACACAGGATAAAGAAGGATAAGTTCGAAGTCGGTTAAAATAAACGAAAACAAAGTAAAAGCGAATGAAAAAAATGCCCGGCTATAATAAAATTGGACAAAGAAATAGAGGGACAATGACTAGAAATACGAGAGACAAAATTAATCAAGGAAAATGATAAAATGGACAAAGAAACAAAAGAAACACTAACGAAAGTAAAAGAATGAAATAAAGAAAGTAAAAGAGAGAAATGAAAAAAAAGAATAAAAGGGAAAATGAGAGACAGAATGCGAAGGAAGTAACACGCAAAATGAAGGAAACATAAGTAAGAAAGTACAACGAAGGATAGAACAAGGGAGATAACCGAAATACGATAAACGATTGTCTGAAAGGTATCAATCATAAAAATACACAGCACAAAAAAGCATACGTAACCGATATAGATACGCCAACAGTATGTAAAAATGAATGAAAGCCAAGCAAAAGCAAAGACAGAAAGATAATAAGAAATGAACGAAGAAATAGCAATGTGGGGATGGAATCAAAGATATATAAATTAAAAAAAAAAATAATATTGCAAGAAAAATGACAACCAAAGAAAGAATAAAATAATCACAAAAGAAAGAAATCTGACAGAAAATGAAATAAAAAAAACAACGAAGAAAATAAAATCCACAAATTGACGAGTCATCATCTTTCTCGTACAGATCAAATGATAGAACTCTGACATGTTATTAGTTCACGTCTGTTGAGGGCAAAGAATTCATGAATTGGGAAGCAAAGGAATAAGAAAAAAAAAACATCTATTCGACATACGTAAGACTTTAAGAAACAAGTATTTCTGGATTTGGACGCGCTTGTGACAAAAAGCAATCTATTAAAACAAAAAATATATTATAAGTACAATGTAGAAAAATGAAAATAGACTCCAAAAATAAATGCTTATTTCTATAATAATAAAAAGTCACTATGTATAAATATGAAAAAAAAAATATTGAAGTATTGAAACACAACGTGAGTGCCCAGCCAAGAGAATTGAACAAATTTGTGTAATGATTGTATTCATTTGAAAAATAGATTTAAATAAAAGACGTTTTGTATCAGACTAGACAATAGATGTAGGTCTTCTTATACATTGGCGTACAACTGCAAATGATTAACCATCGGAAAGGAGATTTCTTTAAAATCATTTCCCTACAAAAAATGGTGATAAAACCCATTAAGAAGCGAAGAATTACTGGAAATCTTTGGAGTGGTTGGAGTTGAAGGAGATGTTGATAGACACTACAACATGATCAGAATTGCCAAGAGAACAGAACTGCGTGGCTCTGCAGGACTCGGGGATGGAGGTAAAACATGGATCGAGAAGAGAAGCCTTACCGTCCCGGTTGAAGGGATAGCCACTTGGTATGATAGTCGTTAAAATCACCAAACATGAATATATATATATGTGTGTGTGTGTGTGTGTGTGTGTGTGTGTGTGTGTGTGTGTGTGAGAGAGAGAGAGAGACAGAGAGACAGAGAGACAGAGAGAGAGAGACTGACTGATTGACTTGCCAATGCTGTCAGAAATGCATCCAATTATACCACAGTCTTCGGAGGATGGTGAGCGATACAGGAAGAAGAGATAGCTTACAGCATTGTGAAGAGATAGCCTGTATGAATGGTCTGGAGATTCAAGAGACAACTCTCTAGTCAGCGGAAGATAAATCCCATTAAGATGCGAAGAATTACTGAGAGTGAAAGAAACAGAGAGAAGAAAAAAGAGCAGGATTCATGGAGACTGAAGATGGCGCACTGCATTTACAATTTTGAAGATCGCAGTTGACAGGAAACCAAGATAAACTAAGAGAGTTCAACAAGCGAGGAGGAACTATTAGAATAGAACTTACGGTTGAAACGAGTAATTTCAACTGTTAAATTACGAGATAGCGCTGTCAATTTTTATTTTTATTTTGCTTAAATTAATGAAGTCTAGGAACCACAGAGGAAAGTGATATTTATTCTTGAAACGCGAGAAATATGGCACCAGGCCAAAAAAATGATCGGGTGTGGCTGGTCTTCAACTATTGTATCTTTAAATCAACTATCCAGAATCAATGACCCAAACAACATACAATATTCCTGATACCAAAACAACTCATTCTTACCATTCTTGCTACTGTGATCATAATAATAGAATGTTTATTTTTTTTATAAAATCCTAACTAGTTCACATAAGTACAATTTTTTTTTATGTTGGCTATGGAATAAAAAAATACAAATTATTTTTAAAAACTAACCTCAGTGCATATTTACAATGAAAAGTCTAATTTAGTAAACTAAAAAAATAGTGTTAGTAATAAAAGCTCTCACAATCCTAGATGGTGGTCGAAACATCAGTTAACTTGACGAAATCCATGCGGGACAGTATGTAATAATTAAAAAAAGACACTCTAGAAAGCACTCACTTGAACAGGCATTCATTCAAAAATAAAAACAAATAGGAAAATACGCCCGCCACCAAAAAATAAATAAACAACGAGAATTATCCCGCATCCACCAGAGAATTGATATCTTTGTCATTTAACGTGGGTGGAGAGCGGGAAATTAAACTAAAAAAGGAGGGAATAGAAATGGGCTGGTGTACATACATCCCATAGTTAAGTTAACTTGAATTGAAGGAGCTAAAAAAATAACCTAAAATACACTATTTTAAACTGGGTTGCCAATCTTCAGTCCAGGGATCAAAATCCTCATGTCGAAGCGACATCGAGATGCTACTCTAAGTCAACTATTTTTACTCGACACAGATGTGCAAGACTGGCCAACATTTAGCCAAATTCTGATGAAGACATCCGCCACATTTCTGACCTGATCCGGACTTTAAGCTGATGCTTGAAGATTCATTAGGAAGAGGCAAACTTCTCATAGCCACGGGTTTTTTTCTGTAGCGTCGTCCACACCACGTTTCGCAATAACATTAGAAAAATAACATATCATGCACAGCATTCGTCAACGACGGTATTACATTGCTAAAGATAGAACTATCTTCGAGGACGAAGAACTTCCACTGCAACATGCGAACCATGAAGTCTCCAATTAACTCGCTCAACGGGTGTTCGACACAAAAGGAATACGGAATATTCGATGGTTTCTTTCTGCTCATAACTGCGTACACACTTTGGCGATATTGCTAGACCCGCTGAACATAGCCTCTTCACGATGCAGAGTAAAACTCATCACTACAATTCACATGAAAATATTTATAAGAAAAGGAATCTATGCTGTAGCTGTGGGAAGGTGACAGGTCAGAACTCATAAATTTGCAGATTCTTCTTTGGATGTAATCAAGGATCTCTAGATATGCAACAGATGCCCGGGCAAATGGTGAAATTATAGATGGGTAAAATAGATTCTGGCGAGAAAAATATCTCGCATGATGTTTGAGAAAAGATCATCCTATAATGCCACAGCCAACTAATTAACTATAAAATGGCAATTCTATTTAGAATAAACGTGCGTTTTGATCTTGAGGAGTTTATAGAGTTGTGCTTCTCCAAGTTCACAATCTGTGGTCCCGCAACTCGTATGGTTCCGTATGCTTAGAACCTGACACAAATACATCTTTCAAATCACTTCATAAACCGACATATGTGTAAAATTCGAATGGGTCTTTGAAATACAAACAAGAAATCTAAATTACAAAATATTTTGTAACTGAATATGAGGGATGAGAATCATATTAATATGTTATTACATATTATTTAATTTATATATTATTTAATACATTTATTTAATACATATTAAAACATATTAATTTCATGAGAAATGATTATTTACGCTACTTACAAAAGTTTCGCATTTTTGTTGTTAATATGACGATGTTTCGATCGTCGTGACCGCTTGACCGTCTTCATTTATCTATCGATCCGTCAAGAAATCGATTCAGGAAATTTCTAACTAAGCGCTTTATTTAATCTAAGTTTTTGTCCTAGTGGGTAAAAATCTAGCAGCGTTAGTTCTGGAATGTGTAGGCATCGTACTTATGCGTTGGATTCCTGAGCAGAGTAGTACAGACTCAATGGAAACGGAACGAGAAGCACAAAAGAATGAACTAGAATACCAAAGAGGATACGAAAAGAATCTCATGCTGTAGAATAAACAAAGTCTTGGAATAATATTTTTCTTAATTTTTCAAATTATTTGAATGGATTAATGGGTATCCTCTTTGCTGTTTTGAAACGTCTTCGACATTTAGTATTATAGCATATACAAAATTCCACCAAAATATTTGCTACCCAGGAGTATTCGTGGTCTTTACTCATCTCTTTACTACATATACACGTTTAACTTTAATTGCTTATATAATTTTACACCCTACAAGTTGACTCTTTGTTGCTTATAGAATGTTCCTCTTTATTGCTTATACGATTTTACACCTCCATTCATTGCTTTTACCCGTTTACTCCTTATTGCTTATCGAATGTTTCACTTTATTGTTTATGCGATTTTAGTCCTGCCTTTGTTGGTTTTACAATTTTACTCTTTATTGCTTATGTAATGTTCCTCTTTATTGCTTATAAAATGTTCCTCTTTATTGCTTATACGATTTCACTCCTCCCTTTATTGCTTTTACACGTTTGCTCTTTATTGCTTATATAATGTTCCTGTTTATTGCGTATATGATTTTACTCCTTCCTTCATTGCTTTTAAATGGTTAGTTTGTATTGCTTATATAATGTCGATCTTGTGTTTATTGCTTAAACTTATTTACGATCGAGTGAATCCCTGGAATTAAAGACGAAAATTTTGACAAATAAAATCCTCTCGCCACGATCGAATAAAGTTTCCTGATTCTATTACTACTAGTATAAAAAGTTGAACGCACATTCACATCGATACCTTCACTGGTTAAGGAGAAAGGGCGCCCCACTATCAAAATATCATTAAAAAAAAAAAAAAAGACACGCATATATATCGTGGGCGTTTGTCATTAATTACGATATTTTTTGGCAGATGAAATTTTCCTTCAACCTCTTCTTGTGCGACATTTGGAAAAAGAATTACGATGGATTCCAAGAGAGAATCTAATTTCTTTCGAATAAACAGAACGAAAATGTAAAGGATTATTAGAAGATACGATCACGCAGCATCTTTTGCAGGGGTTATATACGCAAGTTGTTAGAGTTGATACCGAATAAAAGATTCGGCGTTCCATTTGCTACCGTGTAGAACCTGAAGCGACACCGAAAGAAATGACACAGTGACCATTATTGTTTTATAATTTTAATGCATTCCAGTACAAATGGAAATGCAAGACATGAAACATCGTGGTCAAAAATGCAGATAATTCTAATGTATATTCTTTTTCATACCTACCTCATTCCTGGCTCAACATCACATTTTTGCTACCAGTGCTTCCAAAACTTTACAAATATCGAGATATGTCTCTAATAATCGTTCGAAAAAGAAAAGCGAAATTTTATGATTGTTAATAAAATTTAAGCTTCATTCTGCCTCAATTCATTAAAAGTTTTAGCAAGAGTAAGCACGATAGGAATTTAGAAACAAATAATATTGTCAGAAAAATATTGGAATAAAATTTTGCATGAAAG